ACACCGCACCCTGCAAAAGGCAAAGCACTTGGTGCAAATAGACATACTCAACGAACATCATCACATTGCTTGAAACTACGGACCTGGGGAGTCTTTGCACTTTGCAGATGTACCCCCGACATACGGCATTGTTCTGGCCGTTTCCCAAATTCCTTCCCATCTTTAGTGAGACCCCTCCAACCATCCTTCATAATCATTGCAGTCTCAGATGAGCAGGAAGCAATTCACTCTCCTGATCACCCAGCAACCGCTCAAAACGACACCGAGATCCCAAGAAAAAGGCATTCACCGCCGTTCACCACACCATCGTCCCAGTCCGAGTTTCCGCCCACACGCGCCGGTCCTTCGCCAGATCAATGCCTTCAACCCCAGCAGTCGGACACGTGCCACGGCGACCCGGCAGACCTGGTTCCGAGCTCTCGAGCTCGGTTCGGAGGGGACCGGTCGGTCGGGTTTGGGGTCTCCACATCGCTCTCGGCCGGGAAAAGCCGAAAAGCATGAACCAGTGGTAGTGGTGTTGTTCTTTTGTAATTCTATAACGTTCTTTTAAGTTATGTTATTATTGGTCATGATTCTTAATTATGTGTTTGTGTTTCTTTCTTTCTACTTTAAACATCTAGTGAGCAGTTTAGTTGGTGTAGACGGCTCTTCTTCTGGATGTTTGGCTATCGATTGTAGTTTTCACTTGAGGCTTGATTATTTCAGCCAAAATTATACTCTCATGCACTTTACAACACACAACAAATCAGAAAACCATGTACAATCGAGCAGTCAACACCCTTTGGTACACCCATAGACATAAATGTACACAACTAAGACAGAACGTAAACATCAACAACAGCACTGCGAAGACAGAGCAAACTACTAAAAGACGCAGACGGAGGAAGCCCCACAGATGCAGTTCTACTGGCTGCTCTGCTTGGGAGCAAGCAAGCTTTGGAACAAGTGATACATTTAAAGACAACAATCACCTTCGAACGAGATTGCCCGCTACAACTCGTGCAGCGTTTGTCTCGCCAAAAAAAGGCCAACACTGGCAGCAGCAGCGCCCGAGACTTTGAGTTCGACTCTGCGGGGCCCTTGGAACTTCGCATTGGATAGAAGTGTATAGCTGTGTGGTGTGGTCCAGCCTCGCAAGCTTGGGGGGTGAGGGATGGTGAGAAGTGAACCGATCTTGCCCTCATGTGCCTGGAGTCTTTCATACTTGTGCGAACCCTGGCTACTAATACTGCACTTGTGCTAGATACATCATGTGATTCCCTTTCTCCAGGCATGTTGACAAAGCTCAAGTGCTCAGGTGGCGTTGTTTGGACAACTGTGTTTTTTGGGATGTGCAATGTCCAGGCCACTTCCCGGGTCACTTCTAGGGTATTGCCCTGAGTCGCCCTGGGATCTAAAAAGAAAAGAATCACTGCGATCCATACACCCTATAGGGCTCCAACCCTATCCTCAGAAGGTGGTTAGACCCCCCAAACCCAACCCAACCACCTTCTCAGGAGGTGGTTGGAGCCCTAGGGACAAGGACCTCAGAAAGTGCATGTTGCCAAGGTACATGCATCCTCTCTATCAGGGCACTCATGGCCCCTTTATTTCCGGAAAAAGAACACAAAACAACATATACACACACAACACGCGTAACCCGAGTCCCAAGAGTTTTTGGATGTGTTGGGTAAAAGTCCATGGTGACAAACTGACCAAGCCTCTCAAGGATCCATTGAGCCTCTCAAACGTCGCAGCGCAGCTGAGATCACAGTGCCAGAGCGGTACAAGATCTGCTATTGCGTGTGAGGAAGCCAAGCGGTTTTTGTGGCACCCACAGCTTCGCTCGTGCCAAGAAGCCGCACGGACGTTGAACACAGAAGTGCTGGAAGTGCCGCATGATGCTGGAAGACGAATGGAGTGCGTTTCATTTTGCCCTAGTGTTGTGGAAAGAACCATAAAGAACCCATGGGTACCCTCATTGATGGGAAGAAGGACGGACCTGCAACATGTATTTACTTTTGGGGCTCACAGGTACTTTAGGTGCTTGCCATCATAATTTGCCATCTCTCCCCAATTCAACATGCACTCATGCGCCGCGCGTATCGCGGATTGTTTTGAGGTTTCCCAGCTGCGTGAACGCCTCCCACTTCTCCGAGGAGGTTGGGGGTGTGTTCTCTGAGGTTTCAGCGCACCATTTCCGGTGATGCCTAGGTTGGATTCATGTTGATTGGCTGTGGGTCATGGCACCAGACCTTGATTGACCTACCTGGAACGTCTCAGGGCTCCAGGTTTGGACCCATCTCCATGTAACACACGCACAGACAGTTTACGGATGTTTACGGTATATTTGTGATTTAAGAGGTATCGTATCATCGCTCTCCACGGCGCCATTTTTTGGGTATAAAGATCGGTTCTCATGGTCACGTCGAAAAGCTTGTTGGACACCCTTGACTCATCTCACATACCCAGAGGCTCTTTCGTATGACCAAACCAGATTAGTCACACACACAATACTTCCGCATGAGGCTTCTCTCTTCACAAACTCAGTAACATCTGTCAACCTCGGAAGACCAGTGCTGCCCTGCTACGACACGCACGGTTCCACCGGTTTTTCCAACGAACCAACGCGGGAAGAAGCCGTTCTATCCACTCCCCAACCCGCTGCCGTTCTATCTCGTCCCCCCCAGTCCCCGGTGTTTAGCTGGTCCCGATGCCTCGCCGGATGCCCATTGCGTCCCGCGGAGAGGTGGGCGTTTTGGTGGTGAAGGGCATCGAGCGGAGCCGCTACGCCCTCGCCTGCGCGCTGGGTCGGGGGTCCGAGGGTGTACATAGAGATGCAGGGTGACACGAAGTGGAGAAATGAGCAGCAGCAGTTGCATCGAACACAGGTGCCGCCGGCATCGGCATTGTATAGTGGTTTCAGAATGTTGGAGAGTAGATGGCGCAGATAGATCTGGCACAAAAGCCAAGAGGTGGTCCCCAAACAGACCTCCCAACTCCTTGGCCCGATAGCCGATCACGGGGTATTGTGCCAAGCGGCAGCAGACGGGCAGATACCAAGGCATAGTCTCGTAATTATGTGGACTCGCCACAGATGAAGAAACAAGATTAAACTATTTACCTTCATATCGATGCGAGTCTTTTGGGAGCTTTTCTGTATGCTCTTTGGAAACTCATCAAGATCGTCAAGATGCATGTGGCAAGTTAAACATTTTAAAGATATATACTGGAGATACCTCACAGGAATTCTCCCGAGTTTCGGGCATACCACCTCGGATCTCGAAGATGGGGACAGAAGCTCCATTCGTGCCACTCGCAGGTGAACGCTGCCATGTAAGCTTCAATGGCTCCGGCTTCGAGATCAGCACGGATAGCCTCAAGTTGTCGCACAGCTGCAGTGGTTCCCAGGGCATGCATTTCACATCATTTCACCGTTGGTCATGAGTCCAAAGGTGTTGTTGTGTTTGTCCCTCAGTTGTTTTTCATTCCTTTGTTGTATGTATGTCATGTACTGTAATGTAATGCAGTGCAATGCAATGTACTGTATGATAGTATGTATGTAGATATGTTGGTATGTGTTGTATGTATCTTTGTTTGTTTGTTGAACCAGCAACAAGGTCTTTTCTCCGGTGGATCTTTGCCTCGTGCCCGAGGATCCCCAGCGGCATGCCTTGTGGTGGCGACCTGCTCAGGGCTGGAGAGCTCAGTGAAAGATGGGCTAGATGGGGCTAGCATTAGTTTGTGATATATTTGTTTATTATGCAATGGTTTTTGTTACCATTTGTTTTAAACACATAATGAATCTAATATACAATAATATATGTAATACATTCTTGTAACATAAGAAGTGTTGCGGTCCTAGGTTGGTTTGGATACTTCGCTAAGCCTACATTAGACTATACATTGTGTATCTTTTTTGCACCAGGTCTACCACATAGATTCGCATACTGGTGTCTCGGAATCATAGATCTGGCTCCTAGATGCCCACGCGGGTTCAGTTGGGAAGACGGCTTTCCTACCAACACGTGCGCAGATAAGCAGGTCTTTTGTTGGTCGTAGGCTAGCTGCTGACTACAGGGCCCATAGAGTTATGAAAGTCTTTAAAAGCATTTCCTGAAGAAACCAATGGCCACAAGAGAGGGTTTGCCTCAGATGTTAACTTAGCCTCAAGTTTGCAGTCTTCAGTCCTGGATTGTATGCTTGTGTCATGGAATCCTCCTGTTGTTGCTGGCCTGCAATTCCAATCTGCCAGTTGATACCTCACCGTGTCCCACTACACATATGACCAGGGATATGACATTTACCAAGTCAACATATGCCTTCTTTCTCTCACTACAAAGTTCTCCTTGTGCAAGTGTGACGAACATCCAGCAGGAAACAACATGTCGAACCCCTACCTGTTCACCCCATCCTCTCTGGATCACGGATCGTTCATCGTCCCGTCGATTCCGGCCGGCCCCGGCCTAGTTGACGGGTGACGGCAGCAACGACACGCAACAACTCCTCGGCCGGGGCTGGATGCGCTGGGAGGATGGTCCATGGTAGCTCAAAGCGCTTGGAGCCAGGGCAGCTCGGGCCTACTAATTCCTCAAATAATCATCAAGAACATTGGTGAACGCTGGGGAGCCGGGAGGGTCAAAGTTCTGTTCCAACCTGGACAGGTGTTTTTGTTTCACGGCTGAGGACCCTGGGTTCCACCTACACTTGAGACCTTGTCGCCCCCCCAAAAAGGACAAAAGAGACTGATTCTATCCAAAGGGTTGACTATCTAACCCTCCATTTTCTTCCCTTTTCGGCACCACCCTTCGTTACAACCCACTTTTTGTCTCACCATCTCCGCGCCGACCGCGCTGAATCGTATCGCGCTTTTTCCGACGCCACTCGGAGCCGAGTCCGTCTCGGAGGTCTCTACGAGAAGGGCCCCTTCGTCTACAACGGTCGTCTCTTCTATCAACAGCGCGGTGGGCGTGTGGCCCTGAGACTGACCCACGGGGCCGGCCGGCCGCTTTGGCGCGCCGGTGCATGAGAGGGAACCCCCTTTTTTTTGCATGTGTTCTTTTTCTGCGTTTGGGGGGAGGGTTTGGGTGAAGGAATGGTTTGGTGGAATGGATTCCGTTACCTGGATATCCTGGACTTTCAGTTTCTTGCCATGACAATTCCAAGCACCAAGACATACCAAGACTTTGAGTGGCTCCTGGCTCGGGTGGATGTGGCGGTACCACGCAATCAGCCCGACTGCTAAGTAGTGTTGAGGATCCTGGGTACTGTAAATAAATGCTTGATTTTACGAAGACTACTAGGCTGCAGTAGGGTAGTGCATAGTGCTAGGCTCTAGGTGAGTACTAATTATGTTCGATCATTAAAACGCTACTCGGCCACCTGCCATTGGCTCAAGCCGCTGCATAGCCACTGCGGCTGGCGGATGGGGACGAGGATGGTGGATGTTCCGCGCAGCGCGTTGGGGTGCGCTGGTGGTTGGTGCATTGTGCCCTTTGGCGTCCGTATTCAGGTTTGGTGGAGGGATGTCTTAATGTTTGGAATTTGGTGAGTCGCTGATTCGTCATGTATCACAGACACAGACATGCTGAGCATCCTGGGTAATGGTCAGAAATCGAACTCATGTAGTGCAGAGTCTTGCTGAAGTGCAGGGTCTTGCTGACTCTTCAAATGATGCACAGATAAAAGATACAACTTCATGTTTTGTCAGACTTGTCTCCAGGTTTGTATCTCAGAGGCACGCGTGCGGCCTAGCCTAGATCTTCCTAAAATCCCGAACCTTTTCCCTGCGAAGCTCCAGAAACATGCTCAGCGTAAGTTCAGTTGATGTTCACATTCAATGTGCAACAGTTTGACGTCAGTCTCAAGAGTTCAAGATACGGATCGGCCGCAATTGTGGCATCGGTCCTGACGGCAATCACCCATTTAGGTCTTATCTGTGTTGACTGCAGTCAACGGTTGCGGGATTGCTGCAGTCAACGGTTGCGGTGGGAGTGTGGATGGTGGTGCACATGAGTCCGGTATCGTTTCCAGTCTGTAGCCTTGGTCAACTGAGGCGCATTTGAGGTCTGGCACTTCTTCCATGGATGCATCTTCTATGGCTGCCGAGAACATCTGGGCGAGGCGATCGACCTTGCGTTTTGCATGCCGGAGTCGGATTCGACCACATATAGAACCAATTCGACCACACAAAGGGTCCCCTGCCTGCTTGGCTTGTGATCGTTGAAGCCCGGGGACACGATGACCATTCCCTAAGAGGTACCTCATTTGCTGGTCCATCACCTCCTTTGTGAACCAGCGAAGTAACGACAGAACGAACGACATCCGGTGCGGATGACCGACTGAAATGACTGAAATGGTGCCAGAGAGTGTGCACAGCATGTGCGCACCTTGAGGGCTGGATTGGGTCACCTGGAGCCGTGGAGCAGTTTCAGGCTTTAGGGACCCGCCCAAGGGCGGGAGTCCCGAACAATGTGATCCACTTTCGGTCTATATATACCTCAATGTACCTTTGATCCATGTTTTGGAATCCAAGTAGATTGAGGTATATACATGTTTGGAACAAAAACAAGCATCAATGAGACAAATCTTGAGATAAATCTCGAGTACCTCAATGTGTTGCAACCCACGTACTCGCTTGTTTCACGCGAACGGGGCATATCCCCCCGAGGCCCAGCGAACGACATCGTTCTCAGCCGAAGAGGCGCTTCGATGCCTTACGAGGCGTCACGAAGCTCTGGGGGAGTCCTGAGCTGTTCATTCGGATGCTAAGCTTTGGAGCTTTGGAAAGAAGCGTGGAGATGTTCTGTGAGATGTTCTCAGAAGGGGAGCATCAGAAGGAAGACGTATGATGATGTTTGTATACGTTGGTTCGTTGCTCTTTGTAAAAGAACATGGTATAATAGAGGTTGGAGTTCAGGTATATATTCAGTGGGAAGTGGAGTTCGCCATTGATGTCAGGTGATTTAGAAAGCGTAAGATGGCCATTGTTGAATTGTTGATTCTTGTTTTTTGAAACCGCCTGCCCCCACGGACATGTGGACTTTCATGACGTCTGTAGTTTAGGGAAACAACATGTTTGATGATCACGACTATCATCACACATGATTCGACCATATTCAATCCAATCTACAGCTCTACCATGGCTGCGCACCGCAGTCCAAACACGTCGCACGCAGTCCAAACGCCGAAGACGTCAACTGCAGAGGCTGGAGGTGCCTCACTTCTTTGCCTTTGGGGATTCCTGGACCCGCGGTGTGCCTTGGTTCGGTGGTTCGGTGATCGGGAAGGTGATTGACATGGAAAGGTGGAGACAAATGAACTGGAAAGGGCTAAGAGTTCTGATTCCACTCCCCTGCAATATATAAACATAGTTGGGAAGGAACCAGGAGCTGAACCAGGCCCTTTTCACCGGTCGAGAGCTCCGCGCACTGAGCGAGGTCTTTTTCGACCTCGTTTCCTTGTTGAACGGCACTGAGCACCTCATCCATCCAGGTCACGCTGATGTCACGCGCGGGAAAACGTGGGGAGCAGGAGTGAAGGGTGTTTGCTGAAAAAATGGCAGACTTGCTGTGTATCCACCGGATGATCCCAGGCTGCATGTTCAAGACTTCATGAAACTTGGACACCAAGTAGTACTTAGCATGTTACAATGAAGGCTTCCCAGATCTGCTGTGGGCTTCCGGTCAATCAACTGATTCCGCAAATGCTCTGATGAGTGCACCCTCTAGAAACCATTGGAAACCCAAGAAGAACCGGCCCACCAGAACTGGAAAAATAGATCATCTTCTAAGACATCTTCAGACATCTCAAGACATATAAGAAGAACCATTTTTGAAGAACCGATGAAGCCTTCCTTTTTCTCAGAAACTTACGATTACTGTATGGCCCCAAGAAGCCTTCGAAACTCCTGCAATGAATGGAGGCCATTTCGCCAACTTCTCCACGGACTGCACTGTGCTCCAGCGGCGACCACCGACGAACCGAAGCAAATGTGGCATGGTGGAACATGGCTCGATCGGAGAAGAGGGTCACCACAAGCTAGACACCTGCGGTCCAGAAGTATTGGATTAAGACACATCCTGGTAGGGGGTATGGGGCTGATTGATAACCAGGCAACCTGTACCCTCCAACCAGTTTCCTTTTTGTTATCGTTAACCCGTGTCAGATGCCAACTTCTAGCTTCGAAAGATGTGGATCACCCAAGGAAGTCTCTGTAATAGATTGGATTGGAGAGCTTGGACTGCTTGGGATGTGTCAGAACGTCGCCGTCGCCGTCGCCCTCGCGCCGCCCTCGAGGTGCAGGCTTTGATTACCTGGTGACGCACAAAGGTCGGTCGGAGTTCGGTCGGGAGAGCGACCGGGGTTGACCTGTTGGAAGGCAGAGTGGCCTGGCCATGTTCCTTCGCAACCAGGTGGGGAAGCGAATGGAAATGTGAAGACCACTGCACCCATAGAAGCCTGGTCTAAGAGTCTACAGAGTCTAAGACACTAGGCTTCCAACACCCTTCTTGATGACAAAGCATGACAAAGCGACATCCGGATCAGACCCCGAAGTTTGTTGGCACAACCTGACCACGGATAAAGCCAGGGCATTGAGACCAATCCACAGACCGTGCGGGGGTTTTGCTCAGGGAATTCAGCAATCCTTCTAAGCCTTGAAGGCTTCAACAGCCACTGAAGGCGCCGCCGTTCGGCAATGCCAGGTGAGGTTCAACCCTTCACAGCCATTGCTGGAAAACTGCGGTTCACTTACAGGCTGCATGGAAGTGAGTCTTCCGGCCGGACTGCGAATTGTTTGAGGATGGGGTCTGCCAGAAGTCTTGTGCAGGTGGCTGATGGGGTAGACTGCATTTGCTTTGTCTTTTTGTTGGTTCACAAAGAAATCATGCACCCTGTCAAGGCACACTTGTTGCGCTATGAAAATCCAACTATGAGATTTAATCCAGCTCAGGTCACGCCTTCAAACAGCTAGATCTTTGGCCACAGGCAAGTGGACACATTTGCATACTTTTCGGTTGTTTCTTCGTCAGCTCTTCCAGCTGGTAGAAGAAGGTGGTTTTACAAGTAACTATGTCTAGAACCGAGCACCCCGAAACTCTGGGACCAACCACATGGGACCATTTGACAAGACCATATAAGACCATTTGATCTGGTCTTGGGGCACTTTGGTCTTGGGTCAGTTTACTTTTTTGCACCCCGCATCTTTTTTTATGGCAACTTTTTACCACATCTGAAGACACACTGCCCAACCAACATGGGCGGAAAGAACATATGAGAATAGCATAGCTAGATGACCATATCAGGAAACATGACCTTATTAGTCTTGTTCATCAGGACTTTTTTGAAACCATGACCACCTGGGACAATACCCCGGCAGGCTTAAGACCTTCACCTCCGACGAGACCTTCGATGCAGCCGCCTTGGACGAGGCCTTCGATTCCAGGCATCAAAGGGCCCCAGTGAACGCTTCTCGCGCGTTCCGCACGAGAACGCGAAGGAGGAAGACCTCAAGCAGAACCTGAGTCAAAGGGTTTTTGGCGGTCAGAAGATCTTCTTGAAGGTGGCAATGCAGAAGATATTCTCTAATTCACTACTGGTAAGGGCCTGAAGGCTTTGTTTTGCTATGACTATGACTATGACTTGTTCGTTTGTTCACCCCACAGTCCCTTGGGTGTGGAATCCGAAACCCATTTGCAGACCACCGCAGACCAGGCCACCTGGCCTTGTGCTGTTGAACTGTGGCCTTTGGGACATGCAGTACCCGCCAGGACGGGACGACTGATGGGACCGACGGAACTGGGGTGGAAGTGCGGTGAAAAGGTGCTGGAAATGGAAGTTGTTTTTTGCACACGGGTAGCATTCCAACAGATCTTGTTAGTTATACAAATTTGTACTGTTTACATTGACATCTATGGGAGCCCAGGGCCACACAAATAGATGTACGAATGACATTATTTGTCTGCACGAAATCATGAATGGTTTAAATCGAGGTCGATTGCTGAGCGCTGAGGGATCATGCTTGGGGTATACTGGTAACCAGCATCGCTCCCAAACCCTATAGAGCAGTGAGTTGCTTGTTGCTTTGGAGCGAAGGCCCCGCATCCTGCGCTGCTTAGGCCATGCCAAGAACACTCCCAACTGGGTTGGCCAGCGGGTCCTGGGGGCGCTTTTGTGATGCCCTTGGATCACTAGAAGAGGGTCTTGAGCAGGTCGGTCCCGGTGGGTCGAGCCGTCTGGCAGGTGGGTCGCCTCCAGAGGGACTTGAGCAGTTTGAGCGGCACCTCAGTACCTTGGCTTCGTCCACCTCCCCGGAGTCGGAGTCGGAGTCGGCCCCATGGGCGCTATCATGGACTATCATGGGAGCCCCGTTTGAGACCGGTGGTTGGGTGGCCTGTTGTTTTGTCCTCACATTGGAGAAGTTTTCCATGTGACAAACGGTGCATCGTTGTTCGTTTTTCTCAAGAAATCCATGGGCCCGAAGGCCTTGATTGGAAGAAGATGAACTCTTGAGCTGGTCATTATGTTCAGCCTTTGCATATGACTGCATCCGGGATTGAACAGTTGGTTCCTACTGATGTTGATTCCTATTGATGCATCCATGTTTGATGTTGGTTTCATAAATACTTGAAAAATAACCATTGAGTGTTGGTTCCTCTTCAGTTTGCCTTTTCAAGTGCCAATTCGACTTGCTACCCTGTGACGGAGCCGGGGACGGAGCTACGTGGCCAAGAGGTGGTTTGGTCCTGCAGCTTGATGCTTGATGCTACAAAACTCATTTCCAAAGTGAAGCACTTGTGCCCAATATCATTGACTCTCCCAGTTTCGAAAAGGGGAAGGCTCAACATTTTGCGATGGAATGGTCACTGTGTGCATATATACTGATATATACTTAATTACAAATTATACATATACCATTTACTGTTACACAGATGGCCATACAGTGGAACCGCTCTTACTTTCTTCCATCTTTTATCCAAACATTACTTGCATCGCGGGTTGAGGTCACTTCTTAGACGACCTCTACAACCGGCTGGGGCCACACCAGAACACGAGGTGCGCATCCCCGGGCAAAAGCTGGTTGAGGGCATGGAACAGGGTTGAGTGAAAAAGAATACGTAGCTTTCATAGAATTAGCCATACTGCGTTTGACTATTTCTGCAAGATATGATGTGTATAATGTTCGACATGCGTAACCCATCACACGATGTTGATCCTCTGAGGACATCATGAGGCGCCAAAAATGGGGGGTCTTGGATCTGGGTGCCTCCATCGCCTGCGAGGGTCTTCTGGCTCACCTTACCAGCTCTTGCCAGTGAGAAGCTTCCGGTCCGGACAGCCGGGATGGACTGGGGTGAGGCGTCACCGGTGAGGCGTCTACCGCTTGGACATGCAAAACAAATGGCTGGGAGATTGCCAGGCAAAGTGCGTGAGACATCTCAAGGGATTCCAGAATCAAACCGAAGACGTTTAGTTGTTTGGCCATGTCACATGTCGACATGCTTATTTTTTGTTTTTTGTTTTGAAGAAGTTCTCCAGATGTAGTTCCCACTACTTTGGATTGCAGACCTATATAAAGTGGAAAAAACAGGTTCTCAGGCCTCAGGTCCGCAGTCAGCGGCTCCAGAGGAGACGAAAGGTGAAGGAGGCCAAGTTCAGTCCTTTGGACGCCTATTTGGGGTTGAAACTGCATCAAGTGAGTAGGATTCTTCAAGAAACGCTCGCCGCCCCAAGAAATGCCTCGAATGGTCACGCATACAGCCCCGGCCTGCCGTGCCTCCCTTGTATGAAGGGGTTCAGATCAAAAGAAGCCGAAAGAACGTCCAACCGATCCTGTCACAGATGGATGTTCCTGTCATCGGCCTATCCGTAAGCTCCAAAAGAACGCACAGTTCATGTCGAGGGTGTTCTGTCTGACCTCACGAACTACCACAGTTGTCCCCGACTGTTGGGGCTTC